GGCGCCGCACTGACCGACACTCTAAATGTAGAAACGACACCAAAACGTTCCAGGAAGCTGCAGCGTTTGTCCTCCGTGCAGGAACGACGCTGCAGCGTGAGCGCGCCGACCACCAACTTCACGCTATGACTCAGACACCGGAGATCAATCGTCTCTGTAATGCTTTCATCCAAACTCGCCGATTGGTCGACATTCAGCCTGTGCGGTCACTTCCTGCTGTTACTGACCAGGTGATGAGTGGATTTATTATCATCATTATTATTATGACTTTTTTATTAAGGACGGAGAACTGCAGACGAGTCTCCCTGACAGCTGTCGTCTTCTGTTAAACGACCAAAATAAAGTCCAAGACTTTTGTCTTCTTCCTTTTGGGTTTTTTTTTGTTTTTTGTTTTTTTTGGGGGGGGGATTAATGAGCCGAAGAGTCAAAGTGTGTGTGTGTCTTGTGTGTCTTCGTGTCTTCCACTACAGGAACTTGCTGTTGCTCGGTAACATCCAATCTAAACCCTCAGATTTCACTCGGTGTTCTTGGACAGCCTGTTAGTGACCTCACAGCAGCCATGTTATTGGTCCAGAGGCCACACCCCTAATAGTACAAGCCCTTCTCCAATTAAGACAGGTGAGTTATAGAGCCCCGCCCCACACGTGTTACAAAAGGGAAGTGATGTATAGAGACCAGAACAGTTTGTCTGTCAGGCTGTAGACGTTAGGAGTGTGTGGGGCCTCTGCTGGACGTCAGAGGAACTGCAGGTCTTGGTGTGGACGTTGCTGTTCGGTGCAGCTCATGTTGTTCGTATAGAGACTGAGGAGCACCTCGAGCACTTACCCACACTTTAAATGTCAGCTTTAAGAGTCGGGTCACCGAGCTCCTGTAGTGGAAGATGTCTGAGTGGTCACACACACACACACACACACACACACACACACACACACACACACACACACACACCTTTCCTCATCCTTCAAAATCCTGCAGAAGAAAACTTGAATTTTTGTGATCAAGTGCAACTTTTCCTTCCTGCAGCATCCAGCTGTCCCTTTTGTTTCCACGTGTGCTTAGAAGTTCATGTACTGATGGCATTTTAAGGTGGGGCTGTGGGTGGGGGTGCTGAGTGGAGCTCTGGGATTCATGACACTTTTTATTGAAGCTTTTACTCTGCAGGCGAGACTCTGAATGCTCCTCCTGGCTTTTTACTTGATCAGTGAAGATTTTAGAGTGTGTGTGTGTGAGATCAGGGTGGGGGGGTGGATGTGAATAGCGCAGCGGTGTGAGTCCGATCGGTACCTGTGTGTCAGACTGTGGAGTTTGTACAGCGCTAACGTGACTCTTTGCTTTGACTTTTAGATGTAATTAAAGAGCTTTGAGAGTTCCTCTGTGCTCCTCGTTTCTTCAGCTCACTGCATCACAAACACGCAGCAGATACGTCATCCACCCATATTACACCACCCTCACTGGCAGATGAACAACAAATGACAGAAAAGTTTGATTTCATTTTTTCACTGTTACAGAAATTAACATTTTTAATTTAAAACCCTTAAGGACCCACAGTGACACTGGTGTCCCCGCCCCTTTACACTTAGAGAAAAACTATAATGGTTTAACTTTGACTTTTAACTAATAAAGTTCCTAAGTGACGTCTTGGTCCGCCTGGTTAGCTAATGAGACTACTATGCTAATTCTAAAACCTTTCTTTTCTTTTTGCAAAGGTAAGCTTTTACTCATTCAGCAACTCTAAACTTTAGATAAGATGTCATAGGTCACTTGTAACCTAGTTTGGTAATATTTCTGAAACAATTTGATCTAGAATC